CAAACCCTAGTCCAATTTCATCAAACATAATTTTACAAAAACGAAATTAATAAAAAAACCAAATCCTAGATCTAGATCTACATACACATGAAATATCCATAAAACTAACTAATTGTTCACTAAAATCAAGAAACATGGACCAAATAAGGGTATGATCTTGTTTCCCTACCTAATTTACCCTAGTACATTCAAAACTTGGGTCTAATTTGCTTCATAAGTAGCTCAAGCACCATAGAAGAGAGAGAAAAACAAAACTCTAATTACTCACTAACCGACCATTAAAACTTCAAAAAAAGTATGGAATATTATTTTCTTACCTTCTACAACATCTCCACCAAAGGATTTGAGACCAAAACCTTCCCTCTTTAGTAGAGCAATTTTTGGGAGGTGCCCAAGGCCTCTCCACTTTTCTTTCACGGGTTGGAGTGAGTGACCCGAGGAAGAAGAAGGGGGCTACAGCCATTTATACAGCGGACATTTGTAGGGGTGGGTGGTGATTGAGCCGCCCCTACAAATCCCAGATATTTATACGTGGAGCATTTGTAGGGGCGGCTAAATCACCAGCCGCCCCTACAAATAGCAACACCGGGGGCGGCTGGTGAGTGAGCCGCCCCTACAAATTCTACCCATTTGTAGGGCGCAACTCGTATCACCAGCCGCCCCTGCTGTTCCATTTGTAGGGGCGGCTGGTCTCGTGGATCCCGAGCACGCCCCTGTAGGGGCGGCTTCATCACCAGCCGCCTCTAAAAAAATTTATTCCGTTGCTACAAACCGTTTTTCACGTAGTGTGAGCCACACTTCCTAGTAAAGATAAATATATTCAACTACTCAATTAAACCATGCATATCATATAAAGAATAAATACACGTTCCTAGTTTAGTCGATTATACTCCCCACATTTTTTAGTTGCAAAAGAAACCCTTACAAATAAGTATACACATGGCAAGACAGCCACATGCCTATTTTAGAGCAGTCAAATTGTTATTTCCATAACTATTTTTCTACAACAGAAAATTCTATGATTGTGTGCAGTAAAAGTATCTATGTAACATTTCCTACAACTTTGGTATTCAACACAAAAATTAATTCGGCCTTCTACTATTTAATCATAGCCCCTTACTTAACTGGACCTAGTGTTTAGAACCCTGCATAAAGATAAAAAGAACGTACTAAGACTTCATGGTTCCTCATCTATGCGATACAGCCTAATTAAAAGACCATGGCTGCTTGTCTGATGGAATCTAACCCCCATGCTGCACGAGCCTGCGCTAGTCAGAGCTGAAAGCAAGATAAGCGAATTGTTTAATTACCTAATGGGAATCGCAAACCCCTCCCTTGCTTGCTGCCCAATCGGCCTGCGCCAGGCACCAAACCTTCTTGTGTTTTCTGAAAATTATACGGAGGTAGGTGGTCCAACCGCCTCTGCAAGTGGTCCGTTTAACAGATATAGGAGTATCATTTGACAGACCACTTGCAAGTGGATCAGCGTAGGCATCCGGATCCGGCATGATGGTGAGGGCGGAGGACGACGGATGCGGTTGCTCGAAGGAGAGGGGTGGCGCAAAGGAAAGATATGGGACAGGAACGGCGGCGGATGCAGAACAGGATTGAAGGGGGCTGGTCTCTTTTTCTTCCTCCCTCTCTATTTTTCTTCTTTCCTCCACCTCTTCTTCTCCCTCACCCTCCCCATATTTCCATTGATGCACCAGCTGTACAGGAGCTGGAGCCCCCCCTTAGATCCGCCCCTGGACAGGAAGGAGATCGCCAAGGCGCCTAGATCCACGAACGTGATTGAAGGGAACAGATGGGCGCGGGGGAGGGTACATGAGCGGGTATGGGTGCAGCTCGGTTTTTTAAAAAAATTGGGCTAGGAAGGCGTCGCCTGTCGAATAGGACAAGCAGGAACACGTGTTTCAGACCCAAGCTGCCAAGCGGTTGGGTCCATCCATTAGGTGGGATTTATTTGATGTGTTAGATGGATTTTTCATAATACATCCAAGAGAGGACATTAAAAGTCAGTAGAGAGCCTGAGGGTGGATTGTACTTTCCAATTTATTTGCTCTTTTATAGTATTATAAGTATTGTATTTATTTATGTGTGTGTCCACAACTGTTGCACAATCACAAATAAACCACGTACATAGCCATCATCATTATTTCACATTAAAATGTAAGACAGTAACAATAATAGTCTTATAAGACAGTAACAATAATAGTGGCAAATCCCCCCAACACACTCACGGTGCAACTGATCAGCACAACACGTCAAAGAAGCGGTTCGCTGAGCTAGCCCGGGTTCGAGTCACGGCACAATCTTCTTAAGACAAAAATCAGGGGACATCTCTCCACTGATCGAGTTTTTTTTTAACAATAATCATTTAAGACGCACGCATGACAAATCACACACCATAGCACGCGCACACCATAGCACGCGAGGCAGACTAGAGCATACTAGCAATTAGCAGCAGCTAGCATGCATGAGGCTCATAATGTAGCCGCCGCTGCTGCTGCATAAGCTGAAGGAAATTCAACTGCTGAATGCTCACGCGTTTTTTATTACATTAAATTTCTCAACTGCTTGGCACGGCAGTATGTATATAATTGACTACCTCTGTATTTTGGACGGGCGAGTCGGCTCGGCCAAACCGAAGCAGCCGAGCAGGGCAAACCAAGATGAAACCGGTAGACGAAGAAGCAGAGGAAGGGCGCATGGGCCCCCGCGCGCGCACACACAAAACATTCAAGCCGAAGCGAACGCAGGAGCAAACACGTGTATGGTGAGAAGCAGAGACAGCAACATCAAGTGACGTAGCTACTGCACTCAAGGTAGAGCCACCTTACCTGCAGGAGACCGAAGGACATGAGAGGAGAAACGATTAATCAATCTTACTATTACTAATTAGAGATATCACGCTAATTCTCAAAAGACATGCTAGTAAAAAAAATAAATGCTAAAAATTCTTACAATAATAAAAAACATCTGACATTTAGTTTAGTAGACTTTAATCACCACCTCCAATAATAGCCATTGGATCTATTCTACTTTCTAAAAAATTATCCACCTCTGCCATTTATGAAAAATACATTGCATCTAAATTACTCATGTCTGCCACTATAAAATATAATTTAAATAACCCCTTAAAACTGCATATAAATTACTCACCTCTATCAATATAAAAGATAATTTAAAATCATCCCTTAAATTTATATCTAAATTACTCATATATGTCATTATGAATGATAATGCAAAGTAACACCTAAGTTTACATCTAAATCGTCCACATATGCCATTATAAAAGATAATATAAATAAACACCTTTAATTTGTATATAAATTATCCATCTCTACCGTTATTAAAAATAAACTAAAATACCCTCAAACTACATATAAATACTAATATAAGCTATTATGGAAAATAATTTAGCAACCATAAAGTATAAAGTACACTATATATGTTTCTATATTACACACCACTGTTAAATTAAAAGTAAGCATAATGCTATATGCCATCCTTCACACCAAGTTAATATTTATTTTAATAGTTTATCAAGCATGGAAAAAATGTCCCTTAACGAACCACGGACCAATAACACTGACATTTCATGTTAAATTATATTAATACTCCATGATAGTAAATTTTGTAAGTTATCACTTTAAATAACTTTATACGGACTCAATACTAGTAATTTAATCTTAAGTGCTCTATGTTTTTATAAAAAATACTACTACACATATAATTCTTTGATATAGCAAATTCAACATCTTGAGTTCCGCAGTGTAGGCTGAAACGACCATTTTTTTTTTTGCCTTTGTAGTAACTAAGAGTGTAGTCTATAATCTAGAATCTTTTTTAACAAAATATAAAAGGAAAATTTTGAACAAAAAAATACAATAAGCTCTAGAGTTTCAACTTAACACATGGGCAAAAAATAGCAACAACAAGAAAGACCAAAAGTTAAAAGCCAAATATAGATTATTCATGATGTCACATAAACAGATGCAAGAAGAGCTTACATTACTTAATCTTAGGTTTCAACTAAACACGTATCGAAGACCAACAGTGGGGCAGTGCAAATGATAACAGCATTTATCTTAATATTACTAACTAGAGGTCCCCAACGGAGCCTCCACATTAATCCTCATGAGATGCACTAGAAAGAAAAAGATAAATTCTAACAAAAATTAGAATGATCTAGCCAATTCAATAGACTCTAATCACTATTGATAATAATAGCCATTAGATCTATTTTGTTTTCTAAAGAGTTACCATTATGAAAAACAACATAAGGTGACCCCTAAATCTATATCTAAAATATCCACCTATGCCATTGTGAAACATAATTTAAAGTAACATATATATTGCATCTCATTACTCACCTTCCATTATGATAGATAATCTGAGTATTCTCTTAATTTACATATGAATTACCTCTTCTGTCATTATTAAAAAAATAAAATATCCTCTCAAATCTACGTGTAATTAGTAATTACCAACATTTGTTATTATGAAAAAGTTTAAATAACCATAAATTACACACACGCATATATATATACAGGGAGTAGTTACTCCCATGTTTATATCTCTAGATTTAGGGCGTCTATAGCCCGACGAAGTGTACGTAGACGGAGTATATCATCATACTGAACCATCTAGGGTAGTATGTATGTCAAGTATGTAGATATACATATAGTATATGGTTATACTTTTTTTATATACTACTACAGTGGTATTTTAGTAATATATTAAAAAGTATGGGCTCTTTTGAACAACTACATAAAAGTGCATGTAAATATACTTCCTTAGATGTTGAAATACGTGTGCTGTGTACACCTTGTGTGTGTGTGTGAGTGTGTGTGTATAACATCGCATATATGAGAATGAAAGCAAAGTGAATGGATGGACAAACCAATGAAGGACGTCTGTAGTCGGCAGCTAACTAACTCCAACTGGATTGGATCACATCGCACATACAAAGGTAGCATGGTCGGCAGCAAGAGGGATCACCTGAGGACTGAGGTTCTGAGCATGGTCTTCTTGTAGTACCGCGAGTGGAGCGGCTTGTAGTGTTTGGGCTGCACAAAGGAGTCCCACTCCATCCTGTCCCACAGTTCCTTCTCGCAGTCGCACTCCACCACCTTGTTGTCGCCAATGATTGGCAGCCTCTTGAAGCTCCAGCAGCCCCTGATCTTGATGGTTTCGAGATTGGGTGCGTACATATTTGACCCAATACTACAGATGCGCTGCAGCTTGGGGAGCTCGTGCAAGTGGATACGCTTCAGTTTAGGGAAGTGCCATCGACCTCCATGTGACCAATAATCGCCGATCTCAGAGAAACCGAAGACCACACTGAGGTCACCACACCACATGATCTCGAGGGTCTCCAAACTTTCCAAGGCCCTCATGGCATCATGCAAGGATACAACATATGTCATCCTTGGGCAGTGGCTGAGGTGCAATAATGTCAGGTCCGTAAACGCTCTATCTTCGAATCCAAATACAGCACACCAGTTCCAGATGTAGCGTGCATTGAGGAGATGCGACGCCCAGAGTGTCCTCAGCTTCTTAAACACATCCACACCGATTTCACTACCTCCTCTAATTTTTTCAGAAGTGAAGACACACTTCAACTTGGGACACCGCTCGACTCTGCACCACTCCAACTGGTTCCATGTCGTTGCACCACTCGACTCTGCACCACTGGTGATGAACAAGCTATCGTGCACATGCAAGATCTTAGCACTCTCACATATAAATCCTGGTACTGTTATGCTTGCATTTTGTAATGTGGTCCCCATCTGGTCTTCTATGTGCACGTAGCAACCTTGGGATGGCACACATGGGGGAGGAGGACATGCACACATGGTCTCCTCCCAAACATCGTAGTCGCCTTCTTTATCCTGCTGCTGCATGCTGGTGTACTTAAGGGTGACGGCGACATATGGGTTTAGTGCATTATCTTTAAGCAGTTGCTGGTGCTGCAGGTTTACTTCCATTTGCTGCCTGCCGTTCTCAGTTCCACCTTTGTTGGTAGCAATTGCGGTAGCAGCAGGAACGCCAGGATGAGCAGGGGATGAAACTGTTGAAATCTCCACATGTGCACAATAGGAATCGAAATAATCTTTGATGGGCTCAAGCGAGCCAAGGAGCCTTGTATCCCTTACAGAAATATGCCAGTCAAATTCAGCAGGTGCTGATCTTCCACCTGCAGTAGTGCCCACCTTTTGGGTGGTGTCGATGCGTAGATGAGCCATGTATCTTTCCCTCCTGGCTGCAGCAGCCGGTGGCCATAGGATTGCACAAAGCTTCCCACAGCCAATTAAAACCAGCCTACCAAACTGTGGGGCCGTAACTGCATTGAGATCTAGTGTTTTCACTGCTGCGCCGGTGATATCAAGACTCCATAGGTCCGGGAAGGACCCACTCAAGAATAGATTCTTCAGTTTAGCACATCCCGTCAAGGAGATACCGTGTAAACCAAAGGATCCGTCAATAATGACAGTCTCAAGGCTGCTGCAGCTGCTTTCCACAGACAAACTATCCATCATGAATATGGCACGGTTTCTGGAGAACTCAAGAAGCTCCAACTTGTCCATACCCGAGAACAAGTCTGTCGGCCGGTCTATGCGGCATTGGATACCAGAATCTGTTACTCGGAGCTTCCGGATGTTGCGCAGTCGCCGCCCATCCAACAGACGATCCAATCCCAGATAGCTGTCTCCCACCACGTTCAGCTCCCTGAGTTGAGTCATGAAATCCATCATCCTTGCGGGCAAGAAGTCAGAAGTTGGTGGGTAGCGCACGTCCAGCACCCACATCCTTTGGAAGCAACGGCGGAGGTCCTCCTCGTCCGCTACTTCATCTGTGCTGCTGCTTCCCTGCTTGCAGTGGTCAAGCCACAGAAACCTAAGATTGTTGCAGTAGAGGAACGGTGGCGATGTGAAGCTGAACTCGCATGCTGATATCTTGAGGACATGAAGCTTGTCGAGTTGTTGGAACATGCCTTTAGGAATGCATCTATACTGGTGATGGCCCGGAATCAGGGTGAACCCGTAGATTGGCGAAGACCAGTATGATATGCGCTCCGGAAAATGCTTTACCACCGGAGATGGCACGTATGGATTTTGGTAGTCCGTATCTAGTCTCATCTCGCGCTGCAGAGCATCCGAAAATAGCCACAATGATTCATCACCATCAGTGCCAACATCTCCCTGCTGCAGCTGTACGATGCCATCACATGTCCAGTAGTTGCAGCCATGGTTCACCAAGTCATAGTCGACCAAGCGACTACCAATGCCACAAAGGTTCATGGTGTACAAGAAGCAATTGGTGGCTGCGGCAGACCAGTCGATGCCACCAATATTGATCTGCGATGCAACTTCTGCAGCCTCATGGCTCAAGATGTCAGACAAGTCACCTTTGGAGGCGGCTGCTGCTGCTGAGGCTGAGAGAACAACATCTGTCGTCGTGCTACTGCCCTTGAGGGCCATATCGACCTTCATCCTTGGGTAGAGCCGGAACCTCCCTTGGAATGACCACAATACCTTGTTCCTCGAGTATCGGGCGGATACAGGAATGCCGAAGCTGTCAAGATCTATCTCCTCGTTGCTCCCGTTGTGAAAAATCACCACGAACCTGCGGTTCAGCTTCCGTATGTGTTGAGATATCGCCTCAGACACCCCCTGTATCTCGGCGCGGGAGCCATTGGCCAAGCCTTGGAAATCGTCTGCCTCATCTTCAGTATCGAGCTTGTCCATCACCGGAGCGGGAAGCTTAACCTGCTCTGCGATTATCCTCTGCATCGCTCTCCTGCTCTCCCATTTGGAGCAGTCGATGTGGAAGATATGCGCGAACTCCAGAACGGCGGCAGCAGGGACTCTCCTCCTTCCAGCCGGTGCCGGTTCCGGTTCCTCTTCTGAAGCAGCTGCGGTGAGGCGTCGGCCTACTTCTCGGAGGACGGCGGATGCCCCCAGCCCATCCCAGCCGTCAAAGTAGATGACATTGCGCCTGCTGCTGCTGCTGCTAGCAGTACCAGCAGCGTCCTCCTTCAATTCTTTGAGAATTCGTTTGGTAGCTTCATCGATGGTGTCCGCCTTAATAAGCTGCATGTGCATATATAATCATCAGTTGTTTTATAAAGAGAGTTATACAGTTGCAAAACATACAGTGATATCACTAGTGCAACTAACAAAAACAGAGCATGACGCATTAGTTGATGCTGGCTGATTATACCTCAGTACGCATGATGGATTGGATTGGATTGGATTGGATCAACCGGCCGGCTCGAAGCTACTGGATCAGTGGATCTTCAGAAATAATGCTGCTGCTTATATCCATTATTTCAACTGGAACAATGTCCATTTGATCTAACCCATCGCTTGGCCTCTCGGCTGGTCTGGCCAACACACAGGCATCCATGAAGGAACAATTAACATATATATTATACAGAGTTGCGTGAACTATATATAGTTTTTTTGTGCATGAAAGCTACATATATATACATTGAAAATGGACTTATATGCTATATCTACAATAATGGAAAGGAGCAGTTAAGTTGCATACCTCAGTTAAGTTCAATTGGCACTAGCAGGATATGACAATAGACAAATGTAGATCGAATCAATAACGATTGATGAACAGGAGAGAGAGACACTGAGATGTCTAAGAGAGAATGTAGCTAGATCGAAGCAAAGCGGCCGGTGCCACAAAGAGAGACTTTGGTTTTCTGGCAAATGTGGCAACCAGTACTAGTATGTCTCTTTGTGTCTGTGGTCGTCAGAATGGTTCTTTGCTTGCAGCTAGTTAGTCACTGCATACTTTTGTAAAGGTAATTAAAGATTAAAGATTTAAGTAGTGGAGTAGTGGAGCACAAGGCTGTCGTGTCTTTATCTCCACACAATTCGATTCTCCTGCAATGGCTAACTGAGCAACTTTTATGCCTTGTGACTCCGAGAAATCTAGGAGGATCCAAGGTTCAGTTCAATCATGCATTGAAATCCTCTAAACTCTTCACTTTCTCATTTTCATCGTGACTTCTACACCCTTTATTTACTTATAAAAGCCCCCTCTCAACTATCAAAACCAGAGCAAGTCACAATACTTTTTAGTTATTTTGGTTAAGTATCTACGATAAATATGGTAAATAGAGCCCTTTTACACACCGTTTAAACGCTACACAGTGATACACCGTTTCCGTTTAATCGGCCGTTTAGCCCGTTTAAGTGGCCAATTAGGCCGAATAATGGCTAAACGATAGGTGACCGACTGTTTACCATTTAACGTTTAGGATAACACTGGGCAACACTGTTCTTATCCCTCCTCTAGACCTCAGTTGTGATTTTGCGCTCCTTTTTCCAAGTATATGAAGAACGATGTCTTATATGTAGCTCTATGTGATTGCTGCCATACATGATTTCTGCTTGAATATATATGCAAGTTGTGTGAAAATGCTATAAAAAATTGTCAAAGTTCAGTCATATTTGTAATATACGCAAATTCTGTCAAAGTTTTTTTGTCAAAATACTTTTGAAATATGTCAAAACGGTTGATGTCAAAACAGAAGTAAAATAAAAAAGTTCTCATAAAAGCAAATCTGCAAGGGCATACATATCTTCTTACAACGAAAGTGACACAATTAAGTGGTCATTACGGAATAGGCTAAACTCAACCTTCGTTTTCAAAAAGCGGGGCAAAATCACAAAAGTTGAAATGTAAGGGAAAAATCACAATTGACCTCCAAAGTAGGGGTAAGAGCACCATTGCAAATAAAAAAACAACGGAAATGATACAAATTATACTAGAAAAATTGCCTAGCACTGACAAAACCATAAAAAACATTGTGCAAACTCAATGACCCTAGCTTAGGGCACATATGCTTTTGGTGTTTAATGTCAATATAATCAATGGGACTAATAACGTTTCCTAGTATGTAAGGTCTTAGTCTCATAGAAGCCAATGAAATTGTGGAACTGGACTTGAGATGGAATGAATTGGATAGGTTTCCCTAGAATACACAATGTGGTGACCATGCACCACCGTGTTGGAGGCTGACGGCGATAGCAGACTAAGCCTCTATTGAAGCACAAAGATCAACACCGCCTTAACTAGCATTGAAGCATCAATGAAGATACAAAGAAGGCATGTCAAGATAGAGAGAAGCATAGGGGCAGGGCCTTAAGTAATTGAGGTACCATCCACGTAGAAAGCATACTTCTAGAGTAGATAAAGGAAAATCCACATCGAAGTTCATCAGTGCTACTTACTTGTAATTTCTGGTCCTCATTGATATAGTCCAGGTAACATATGCAAGAGAATGGAAGTTATCAATTAATAAAAACATATCATCACACTTATAATTCCTGGAAATGTTGTGCAGTTTTATGGACTTATCTTTATCAGTGATAGAATCATCCTGTAACATAACAAGAAGGTCATTTCTATGCATACAAAGGATAACTATTAGTACATATACTGTACTAGGACCTCTTATTTTGAGCTTCATGTGAAAAATAATAGACAACGACGGGGGAAGTCCCCCAAGCGACTGGGAGGAGCTAAGCAGTTGTTGTTGTTTTCCTCTTTTGGTCCTAGGAAGGAGAAGAGATGAGCAGGCTGGGTTTTGTTTGGTGCAAGGAAAGGAATTTTGGTGGGTTGGGCGACACTTCAAATCAGGTGCTTCAGCCCCACATGTCAGCATTAGGCACAGTCGGGTCAGAAGAAAAACGGACTTTCGAAAGGATATATATTTGCACATTTGGTTCACTTACAAACCAATCGTGAAAGTCATATCATTTCTATAAAATAGTTCATAATTCGGAACTGACCTATAAATGTATTTCCATAGTCGTCGATTCTTTAGCCTCAAATTGCAGTTGTAGTTCTTGAGCAGCTAGCAATGGACCATGTTGCTAATTTGGCTTGACAATTAAGCCGAACCGTCTGATTTCTATTTTTGGATGAGTTGTGCCCACAGGTACCCAATGGATTATACTCCCTCCATTTTAAATTTCACGTCGCAATAGCTTTGTCCTAAGTCAAACATCTCTATCTTTAACCATCAAATATAAAAAGTTTGTATAGGTTAATAACATAAGATTTATGTTATTAATACGAACCCAAAAGCTCGCCCCCGCATTGTTTGAGACGGGTGGCTCCCTGCCCCTCGCCTCAACGTCCCCACAAGGAGCGCCTGCGGCCTTCGCCGCCGCTGGAGCTGGTTGCCGGATCTCCGGCGAGTAGCGAGGAGGGCGGCGGCAAGGCCATCCCTCACTTCCTCCCTCTCATCTCTTGTGATCTAGTGGTTCGGCTCTCGGGGCGCCGGTTCTGCTTGGCTGGCGGCCGTTCCGCGCGCGATGGGCTGGATCTACATGTGGATGGCCAGTTCCGCGTGGGGGAGGCCGGATCCACTGGGCCAGCGGCCAGATCTGCTGGGCTGCTCGCCTTTCGGGCGAGCGGACAGGCGGCGACGCTGGTTGAAGGTGCGGCGCGGGGTTGGCCGGATTTGCTCGCTGCTGGCCAGTCCTCGCCAGATCCGGTGGTGGGAGGTCTTCTCCGGCAGGCTTCCTTAGGTGGCTGTCCTCCTTGGAGGCGGTGCTGCTCGTCGGTTTCCGTCGGTGGTCGAGGGCTGCCCGGGCCCTCTCTTGCTGTCCCCTCCCTTGCTCTGGCCGGCCTTGGTTGGCGGGGCTCGCTACTGGCCAGTCTCGATCGGATCCCGCAGGGGGGTGGCAGTCTCTGTGCCGGGTGGCCAGATCTGCTCTGACCAGTGCTTGATCTACGAGGACGGCGGTAGATCCGCACACTTGGGCTGCTGCTGGGACTGCTTGGTAGGGGTAGGGGCGTTGGCTAGCTAGGCGGCTGGGGCTTCTTCTATCTTTGGACCTCTCCTCCCCGCCATCTTCCTTCCCCCTTTCTCAGGCTAGTTTCCATAGTGGAGCTAGCCGGATCTGCTTGCTGCTGGCTGACTTTGCTGGTTCTGGTGGTGGGCAGCCTCTCTATCAGGCTTCTTGCGGTGCTTCTCCTGGCTGGCGTTCCTCGGGGCGGCGGCGGGGCGGGGCTGTTGCTAGTCTCTCACCGCATCCTGCCTCCTTGATAGAGTCGAGGGCGTCTTCTTGTGGCTGCACATGCGGCGGGGACGCCCGCTGTGCGCACGGTGGCATTCGGGGTCGGCAGGGACGCCCACGTGTATCTCTGGCGCTTTTCTTCGGGAATGGCTACCTCTGTGGAGGCTCCGACTGGCAGCGATGGGTAGGTTGCATGAGGTTAGGGCAAAAGCATGGACGACGACGTCTACGGACGCCACACTCTTCTTAGAGGCGTCCTCTTTCGACTTCTTCTCGTACCATGCTGGATTTGCAGGTGAAAACCTTCCCTTGACCGGCTAGCTTGTCGGTGCTTTTGGCGTCGTTTCCATCTTAGAGGCATTGCTAGGCTTTCTAGTTCCGCTGTTGCCTCTTGCCGTCTAGCCATGGCGGTGCTCCAAGCTGTGTTGTTGGTGCTGCCGGACAGATTGTCGTGTTTCTTCTGACCATGTTGAGTTGCCAGTTGGGTCTTTTCGACCAAGTTGTGGTGTTAGTTGGGTCGATTCGACCAAGTTGGAGCAAGTAGTGGCATGGGTTTTGTCAGTTGTTCGGTCGTTGTACCAAAGTTGTGCAGGATGAGTGGGTCTCTCCTCAGTTGTATGTTTTTTCGGCCTAGTTTCTATTCAAAAAATTGAGTTGGCACTTACCTTTTTTCTTTCTTTGTCTAATAAAAATCACGGCAAAGTTTTTGCCATCCTTTCTAAAAAATATTATTATATTCACTATGAGAAATATTTTCATAATGTATAATTCACATGTTGTGAAACTATATGGATTTTTTGAAATTGATGGTCAAAGATAAAAATATTTGACTTAGGACAAAGCTAACACAACATGTAATTCTAAATGGAATCCTATATGTCAATTTGCAAGTTGGTTGAATGGAAGGTTTGATCTTGCGGTTATAAGGATTCCATACCCTACCATTTCGTGGATAACAACCTTATAAATGAATAGCCGCCAATGGGGAGCAATCCAAGCAATGGAAGATTGAATGCGGTGTCGGCCCCGCCTCAGCTCTCGCATTGCAACTACCTCAGCTGGCCCAACTGTAAATTGACTCCAGAAGCTCAAATACACCATTGCATGTCAAGGCGGTGGAGATGAAGGGGTATGAATAGAAGGGTGTTCCACTTTCTCGACAGACACTCAAGCAAAAGGAGCTCT